GATTTATCAATTTCTCGGGTGTCTGGTATTCGTATCTCCGCTCGTAGACACTCGCTCTCGACCCAACCAGGTCTAAGAAGAACAAAATTTCACAATCTAGACCTTTTCCGGCTCTAGAATTCATGCACCGTAGATTCTAGAGGGTGTCGTTTTATGATCACGTCATTTTTGTACTAGCCCTACGACTCGTACATATATTACGTAGTCATAAGGCAGCTATGTTCCCTATATATACAGCATCGTCGTACAGTATCATTTCAATTTCCTAAACGCGTGTGAGTTATAACAACACAATTATATTGTATAATGAAGTCAATGTTGGTCGATAAACATCCAGACCAACAGCTATTTGATTCATTTTGTTATCTTTGTTGCCTGAAAGAAAAAGTTAATTTTGGATGCTTTTATACATAGCATTAGAAAATTATGTACTTTTGCCGCGCATCACCAAATTTGATGAAATTAAGGGAATATATACAGAATTTCATGGCGAATCCGACAGCGGGGATCCTATAATTATACTTTGAGTTTTTGCTGGGGTCACCACTGTCGCTGTGATTTTTCATAGTAAATTTCAGCGTGTTTTTTCCGTTCTGTCATTCTTTTTCTTTTCTGTGTTTTCTTAGGTCGATGTAAAAGCTATTGTTTATATATAGCCGGTCAAAATATACATGTCGATTTCAATTGACGTATATACATTGATAGCATAAAAGAAGTCACGTTTCTCTTACTGTGCGACTGACAAAATAATCTTCATTTTGAAAACATCTCATTTTTCCTCATTTTGATGATTGACTAAATCCAACTTTGCACATCTTTTTTCTCGTTATCATGATTTAAACTTAAATGGAAACTTTGGTTCCTTTTAAATAAGGGACGTCCATTCATATCGAGAAATTGCATTCTGATTAGAAATGATTACTAAAGAACGGTTAACTTTGCTTTTGCAGTCACTCGATTGATTAGCCGCTTTTTCTCGAAAAGACTTTCAGTTGATTTCAAGACGGGAAATTATTTTGAATCTCACTTTCCTCTTCTACGAATCGCTTTTCAGATGAGAAGACCATCCTTTATGGATGCTGAAGGCTCTTTTATGGACTACAGATGAGTTTTTTCCGTATTTTCATGCTTTATGCTCATTTTGATTTTCACAAAATTATTCAAATGTATTTAGAAAAAAAAATGCACTAATAAGATATGGGTGAACAAACTAAAGAAATAGTAGCCATCAAAATCAAATTTTATAAGTTTTCTGTTAAAGAAAAAAAATTTTCTTGAGCAGGAGAAAAAGAAATAGGAGAACAAGAACGCTTGGACAGAGAACAACAAGTAGTGAAAAAGGTAGATTTTTTAAAACAACAATAAAACGATAAACCAAGAAAAAAAATGAAAGAAGCAACAGAGAAAACAAGCATTACTATATATGATTTAGGTAAAGACAAACGTGTATGATGAACAAATAACGTATTATTTGTTTCGCTATGATTACTGATATAGCTATCAGATACCAATACAGGAAAAATAGTACATGGTACAAAAAAATCCAAAACAGCAGACTTTTGTAAAATAGTATTATATACATAATATGACAGTTTAAAAGAAAAGAAAAAAGAATCTACATTTGAATTTTTTAATTTATATACACATTGATTCAACTTACCACTAGAATAAAAAAGAGATAAAAAGGATGCATTGCAAATTGTTTTAATTGTTTTAAATAAAAAAAAATTAAATGTTTGATTTTGAGTGCTTCTATATAAGTCCTCAACTTTGAACAATTCACGTACAACGTTTCTTTCATCAGATGTTAAATTTACAATAAAAAATGACGCTAAATCACTAATAGCAGCACAATCATGGATTATTGTTCCACAACTATCCGCATCTAAATCACCACAACATGTAAATACCGATGAATGGTAAGAATCCAATGCAGAACAAACATCGGAATTACATTCAACATAATAATCAAATAAAAAAAATAACACAATAAATGATAAACTTAATGGTATAGTTAATTTTGCCATTAAATCCCAAAATAAACCTAAATGGAAAAAAATTTGAGCGAAACGACTTACCCTGGTGAGCAAATGGAAGATGAGCAAGTGAATAATAGTGAATAATAATAATAAAGTGAATAATAGATTATATATGTATCATTTTTATAGTAGAACTGTATCATTTTTCCCAGCAGTTGATAATTATTACTCGATGAAAAAAAAAAATGCAAAAAAAAAAAAAATGCTGATAAAATTCAGCAGAATTCTTGTCACTTTCGTGGAAGATCTTATATAAGAATTGAGTAAGATTCTTACAAGATTCGTATAAGATGCTTGTAAGATTCTTATATAAGAACCGATGGCTAGGGAGTCCATTAAATGCTCAGCTTTTTACGCACTCCCTTGGCCTTTCTCCTAAATGCGTTTGCGTAACGGAACGGGAGACTATAAAACACGTTTTTATGGATTGTACTGAGTATGACGAGTGTCTCCTGTTAAATGTTCAACGAACTAACATACGTGTTTATCTAATGATAAACGTTCGATAATCCCGCTTCACCCGTCTGAACAAACAGAAAAACAGAAAAAATGAGATGGTTAACAGGGTTAACAGCCTTTGAAGATAAATAAACATTTGGCTTTTTTGTTCCGCTATTTCTCGGAACTACCACATGAAGAGATAAACCATACCTAAATATGATACAGCGACATTACCACGAACGACATTACCGTGAATACAGGAAACGACGTTACCGCGAACAATTGTGTATCGAAAAAGACGAATGAGGCCGATTTAATATATAGAAAACGATAAAATAATAACTCCATTAATATGGAATTGTGGATTTCTGTTCTTTTACATCACAAATAGAAGCGAAAGTCACGTGTTGTTTTTTAAAGCGCAAGTCAATAGGTCACTTTTTAAAGCGCAAGTCAATAGGTCATAAACAGCAATAATTTCTCATTGCACGTCAGTGTCTTATGCGACAAGTCAACCGGTACTGTGAAGGATTAGGGAACAATTAATGTGATGTACATGAAGAAAAATTCTTAGAAGAAATGGAGCCTATATTTCCTTTCCTAATTTGAAAAATCGTTTGCCATTAATCGTTGCTCCAATTATTATCATAATTTTTATCGTAAATTTGAAAGAGAAAAAGTATACTTTGTGATTTCTACTGACTTCCTCTTTCCACTTTTCGATCTGATGAACTACTTCTGTTTGTTTTTCGTAAACAAACTTTATAAATAAGCAATAAAAAGAATTATTAAACATATGGAGAAAAGAGCATGCAGATCGAGCATCGTATTTTCTGTCTGGTTCTATTCTAAAAGGAGAAATGTGGAGAGAGAGAAAGAAAAAAATAATATAAAAAAGAAACTGTGTGGCGGAAAAACCAAGAGCCGCCCATATGATATCCCAACTGGTTATTAAGCAAACATTAAGAACATCCAGTCGAGCATCTTTTAGATGATCGAATGAAATCAAGAACAAAGATAAATACTTCCTATAGATTATCTTTATCCGACATCCTGACAGTCACATCGCGTAGTAAGATATGTTCAAGAGTAGTAAGAGTATTGATAAACACTATTAGTTACTATGAAAGACAAGCACGGTCATAGAGCCGAACGTCTTGCTATATCCTGATTTTTGAATCCGAGACGGATTCTCTCAGGACGACGGGGTGATTGTAACGGCTCATCGCCGTTACATTATTCTCCATGCTTGATCTTATCACAGTTTCTAGAAATTCTTAAAACTTCGTAGTTTTGCGGGTTTTTGTGTGTGTTTATTTGTCCGTACAGAGATGTGACGGACGTACATACATATAGTCATACATATAGTGACTAGTGGGTGTGACGAACCAAAAATCCGGGCAAAATTGGTTGGAATCTTCAGATTAGTTTTATCCTGCATTAGCGTTATTTGGCAAGATATAAGGAACAGAAAGGATGGAAAAGAAAAAGAGGATGTGCATTTTCTACGGAATGAAAGACTTATAAATAAAATATGTAGAAACGATTACGTTTTAACGTAACTTGCATTATATAAAAATAAAGAAGAATTAAGAAGATCAAAACTTTTGAGTTATAACGTTAAGAGTTCTCATTCGTTTTAGAAGACACCTAGTTCAGAGGATTTATTGTAGTTTCTAACGTAAAGAAGATTGATATGTCTTCCTCTCGATGATCATAAGCTTCCGAACATCCAACCTTCATACTGAAGCAATAGAGTGGCTATAGGTTCCATATGGACAAGAAAACGAAAAAGATGCGGTCTGAACCTGAAAAGTATTTGACTTCTCTCTCCATTAGGAACATTGTGACTCCACGGTTGAGAATGAAGACGAGGAAAAGAAGGATTTGGCCAAGATATCTTGACAAATAACGCTAATGGAGGATAAAACTAATATGAAGATTCCAACCAATTTTGTCCGGATTTTTGGTCCGTCACACCCAGTAGTCACTATATGTATGTATATAAAAATATAATGAGAATGAAAAGAAGAATTAAGAAGATTAAAACTTTTGGCTTATAGTTATAACGTTACGAGTTCTCATTCGTTTTAGAAGACACCTACTTCATGTTTTCTTCTCGAACAACGAGTCTCAGGAACTCCTTCTTTTCCTCGTCTTCATTCTCAACCGTGGAGTCACAATGTTCCTAATGGAGAGAGAAACCAAATATTTTTCAGGTTCAGACCGCATCTTTTTCGTTTTCTTGTCCATATGGAACCTATAGCCACTCTATTGCTTCAGTATGAAGGTTGGATTTTCCGGAAGCTTATGATCATCGAGAGGAAGACGTATCAGTCCCCTGCATTGGATCTACTCAATGAATTAGAGCCAATGAAACAAGCATTTCCTTCCGCTGTTGCTTTACTCAAAGGAGCGATTACATTTCCTGTGTCATCCGTCGCTTGCGAAAGATCCTTCTCTAAAATGAAATTGATAAAAACTTATGCGCGAAATTCGATGAATGATGAAAGACTTAGCGTTCTTGGTGTGTTGCCTATTGAAAAAGACATCGAAATAGATTTTGAAAAAGTTATTGATGTATTTGTTGCGAAGCACAAAAATAGTAGAATTTTGTTGATTTGATTAAGATATCGTGAAATAAATTTAGAATAAAAGCTGATCAGATGTTGATTAATATTTAAAAAAATAGATGATCAATAAGCTGTGACAAAAAACGGTTAAAACAACAACAACAACAACAACAAGTTTACAACAAGGAACAAGGTGGAAGTCGGTCTTTGAAATTGAAGTGAAGTCGAGCCGATTGTAGGTGTTTACAATCATGTTCAGCCGTTTACACACTACCCTGAGTGTTAGAAAGATTGTCTGTGCATCGAGATTGTCC